GCCCGGAGAAGCCATTTGCCAGCTGAAGCCCTGAGCCCCCTGCCCGGAGGAGCCTCGAGCTGGTAGGAGCTGTACCACGCCTCCCCTCCCCAGACCCCAAGCCACCCAGAGAAAAGCATCTTTCTGACTCTCATCTGGAAGAAGCTTTTCATATGCCCCATGCAGGTTCTGGGGCAGCTGAGGAGGTGGTATTTTCTACTCAGTTTCCTGGGTTCATCAGTAATCTCCTTGGAGACCAGGGAGATTACTGAAACCCAGGAAGCTGAATAGCTCATACTGCCTTCTCAGCCATCCCAGAACCTGCATGGGGCATAATAAACCAAAAACCTCACAACTGGGGTCCGGTGTCCGCAGTAGTGCCAAGGGAGGCTGAGCCACCCCTGGCCTATTATACTCTCCACCCATGTGGGTACCCCCAGTGGTACTCATACCCCTGGTGGAGAACCACTGCTCTGAGTTATTCCCTCAAAGATAAGTGTCAAATTTTTCCTTTTACTTTGGAGCGGCATACAGACTCAGGTGATTAAAAGCCTCCTGGTTATTTTTCTTAATGGCTTTTTGTTGGTTGTTTTTACAGGAAGTGCAGAATTCTCTGAGGAAAGTGCTAAGATGTTTGTGTTGCCTTGTGAGTAATGGAAAGAATTCACCACAAAAATGAAAATATGCTACTGCTGAGTAGTGATATAGAACACTAAATATTAGGGATCAAAAAACAAATAATAGTGCAGATTCCTGATATTTAAGTTAGGCCCCTGACAAAAATGCTATTGTAGTGAAGTAACCTACACAAAATATTGGAGAAACTGTTTGTCAAGGAAAGGAGTACTTGTGGCACCTTAGAGACTAACCAATTTATTTGAGCATGAGCTTTCGTGAGCTACAGCTCACTTCATCAGATGTTTACCGTGGAAACTGCAGCAGACTTTATATACACACAGAGAATATGAAACAATACCTCCTCCCACCCCACTGTCCTGCTGGTAATAGCTTATCTAAAGTGATCAACAGGTCAATAATCAATAATAATAATAATCAATAAGTCAAGGAATACTTATTGAACGGAATTAGGCAGAGATCTGATGCATAATGCTGACTCTTGCTTTCTAGTTCAAACTCTCATGTAAGAAAATACTGCTTAGTTGCAGCTAATTCTGTGTAACCTTGCTGAGTAAATTAAACTGTTCTGCATGGCTCCCAGTCTGCAGGCAACTTTCCTGAACCTAGTGTCAAATAGTAAGGCTTCATGGAAGAGACTGGATAAGAACAGAAAAAGTCAAGCCATATTATAAAATATTCCGTTTAGTAACCTTTTTATTGTTTACTGATCAAAACCATTGGAAATTCAGTGGCTTTTACATATGCCCCTCTCCAGAATGGAAAGGGAAGGAAAAGGGAAGAACAAGTGTCTATGGCAGGCTCCCCTTAAACCCCAAATTTGCAAGTTCAGGTTTCCTTGGATGAGGAACAGGTTTTCAAAGGTAGGAAAGGTAGTTTCTCAAGACCCCTGATCCCTCCTGTGGGTGTCTATCACAGAAAGGGGAAATAGAATACAGTATTTTGTGGTGTTTTAATACAGTGGGAAATGTATTGAAAAGGTAATACATGAAAATACCAGTCATTTAACAGATTATTTATATAACATAAGCATAAATCCCTGGCTTGCACTAGTATCTCAGAATAAACAATGGTATATTATAGTACCCAGGATATCATACTGCAGTGGTTATTGCCTTTGCAACTTCTTCAATTTCAGTTAGTCTGCATCTGCAAACAATTTAAACAGTTTTTTAAATTTAAGACTATATGTGTCATTTTGATTTTCCATAGATGATAAAACAGTAAACAAGTAGCAAAAAGGATACTAACACTACAGATCTGTTGTCAGATGTGGTTGATTGCTATCTGCTCTTGTACATTGTTAGCAGGAAGACCTCTGTCTCACGCCTTTGTACTCGATCTTCCTTTCCCACACTGCAGTTGTTCCCTTCCCTCAGCTTCAGATATTCCTTGCATCACCTGCACTGCATTATATACAAGCTAACCTGCATGTTTCCCCAGTTAGAAGGCTAAATACAGACTGAGCGTGTACTTTTTCTGCTATACATTAAATGCTGCAGTGGTGTTTCATTTCATAGAGCCAGACTGCAGGAGTCACATTAGTTTTGTAACTACTCTCACTGAGGGCTTGTCTACACTTGACATGCTACGGCGACACAGCTGCACTGCTGTAGTGCTTCATTGTAGACACTACCTATGCTGATGGGAGGGATTCTTCCCTAGAGGGGGTAGCTAGGTCAGTGGACCTGGGCATGGCTCCAATTATCCAGAAACTGGAAATAATTGGGCATCCCCAACATCTTTTCCGAATAGAAAATACAGGTAGTAGAGGTGAGATACTTCCATAAAATCCTGGGCATCTCCTACTTCGACCACGTCACTAATGAAGAGGTCCGCAACATCATCACTCAATGTGCTGGGTCACATGAAGAGCTCCTGTCGACCATGAAGAAACGCAAGCTGAAGTGGTACAGCCATGTAACAAGATCATCTGGCCTACCCAAGATCATCCTCCAAGGGACAGTATAGGGGAAGAGAAGAAGCGGTAGACAGAAGAAGAGATGGATTGACAACATAGAAGAGTGGACAGGAATGAACTTCGCGGAGACTCAAGCACTGACACACAATCGTCAGGGGTGGAGACAATTGGTTGAGTGCTCATCAATGATGGTGCCCCAAAGACCAATGCAGTTATGGGAGTGACGATGATGAACATCTTTTGGATAAATGTTAAACTGTAAATTTTACATAAGTATTTACTTGTATTATAATTGTATTTGTACTGCAATAAGCACCTGAAGGCCCAGGTAAGATCAGGACTACACTGTAATGGGTGCTGTGCAATAATAAATACATATGGTAACCTCTTAGCTTAGTTGTGAGTCAGTTAACGCTGCTAATGAGGTAGGGAGGCAAATTCTGATGCTTGTTGGTTCTCCCAGCATATTCATATTCTAAGCAGCCACAGCCTCAAATCCCACTCCACACGTACACAGATTTCTTCTGCTTCTGGCAAGAACAATTTGTATAGGAGAGAGGAGACCATCAGGGTGCTTTGTGCCAAAGCATGTTAGTTCAAACCTTGATTGTGCCCTCAGCTGGGCAAACCATTTGCTGGGTGCAGCATCTTGGAGTTTTCTGGCAATTTAAAAATTAGAGAGTCCTTAGAGGACATTTATTTAAATGTACTGCTGCTCATGCTAGTTCTCCTGTGCCTGTATTTGAAAAAAGGTAAAGTTTTATTAAAACAGAATAATGTTTCTCCACTTATCTCTCCCTGTGCACTGGCTTGTGGAGAGACTAAGTTTACACAAGATTGCTAATTTGCCTTTGAATCCTTGTTTTAATACTCAGCCTTGCTCCTCACTAGTCAGATTCTCCTGAAGCCTCACGCGTATCTTGACTTTAGTAAGGCTTTTGATACTGTCTCACATGATCTTCTCACAACTAGGGAAATACAATCTAGGTGGAGCAGCTATAAAGTGGGTGCATAACTGGTTGGAAAACTGTTTCTAGGGAGTAGTTATCAGTGGTTCAATGTCAAGCTTGAAGGGCATATCGAATGGGGTCCTGCAGGGATCAGTTCTGGGTCCAGTTCTGTTAAATATCTTCATCAATTATTTAGAAAATGGCATAGAGAGTACACTTATAAAGTTTAGAGATGATACCAAGCTGGGAGGTGTTTCAAATGCTTTTGAGGATAGGATTAAAATTCAAAATGATCTGGACAAACTGGAGAAATGGTCTGAAGTAAATAGGATGAAATTCAATAGGGACAAATGGAAAGTACTCCACTTAGGAAGGAACAATCAATTGCACACATACAAAGTGGGAAATGACTGCCAAAGAAGGAGTACTGCAGAAAGGGATCTGGGGATCATAGTGGATCACAAGTTAAATATGAGTCAACAGTGTAACAATGTTGCCAAAAAAAACAACCATATATCATTCTGGGATGTATCAGCAGGAGTGTTGTAAACAAAACACAAGTAATTCTTTCGCTCTATTCCATGCTGATAAGGCCTCGACTGTAGTATTGTGTCCAGTGCTGGGTTTCACAAAAAGATGTGGACAAATTGAAGAAAGTCCAGAGGAGTGATTAAAGGTCTAGAAAACATGACCTATCAGGAAAGATTGAAAAAACTGGGTTTGTTTAGTCTGGAGAAGAGAAGACTGGGGGCGCACATAACTGTTTTCAAGCACTAAACATTTGTTACAAGGCGGAGGAAGAAAAACTGTTCTTGTTTACCTTTGAGGATAGGGCAAGAAGCAGTGAATTTAAGTTGCAGCAAGGGAGGTTGAGGATGGACATTAGGAAAAACTTCCTAACTGTCAGGCGAGTTAGACACTGGAACAAATTACCTAGGGAGGTTGTGGAATCTCCGTCACAGGAGGTTTTAAAGAACAGGTTAGACAAATACCTGTCAGGAATGGTTTAGTTATTACTTGGTCCTGCCTTGAGTGCATGGGACTGGACTAGATGACCTGTTGAGGTTCCTTCCAGTCCTACACTTCTAGGATTCTATGCATCAGTGGAAGGAAAAAATTGTTTTGGTATAATAAATAGCCCTTCATCAACTAAATCTACTTAATAGTAATGCTGTAGTATTGAAAACATTAAAAATGATTTTAGAAAGTAACTTCCTATTAATGAATGATTGATTCTATTAGGTTAGTTACTTATATTTAAATGTAGTCCCTTTTAGTGAAGTGAGAAGCCTTCTATTATATTTCAAGATACTAAACTGTGTTAAGATGCTCTTAAGGTTGCTGACATGCTATATAACATAAGCGCTAAGAATACAGGAAATCCTGAGTTAAGATTCTTTCACAAACTTAAGAAATCACTTCCTCTTTGACAAAGAATACTTCTTGAAGAAATAAAAATTCACATAGTAAACTTAACTCTGACTACAATATGAATTCAACTTTGCAATACTTACGGAGGTACTTATGGTTCCATGTCTAAGCCATTTCTGAAGAAGTCTAGATAATGATTGTCTTACACAGGGCCGGCTCTAGGCACCAGCTAAGCAAGCTGGTGCCTGGAGCGGCACTGCTGAAGGGGCTGCACGCCGGCTGTTTTTGGGGTGGCGCTCCAGCAGCAGCCCCGGCGGCAATTCGGCAGCAGCACCTCTCCGTTGCAGTGGCAACTCTTCTGACTCAGGTCTTGCTGTCGGCAGCAATTCAGCTCCCTCCGATGTTCCTGTTCTCTCTGGCAGCAGTGTATTCAGCAGGTTGGGTTTTTTGTGGCTGCTTGGGGCTGCAAAAAACGTAGAGCCGGCCCTGGTCTTAGACATTCTTATTTAGCCATATATCAAATACATTCACAGTACATATACAGGTACGTGGAAGGGAGGCTGCCCTTAATAAAGTACCTTGCATGGCGACAGGTTTCAGAGTGGTAGCCGTGTCCCATGAAAGCTTATGCCCAAATTAATTTGTTAGTCTCTATGGTGCCACAAGTACTCCTTGTTGTTTTTGCTTAATAAAGTAGGCTGCCTCCTCCCACGCTTTTCAAATAGTTTGAAGCCAGGCTCACAGGGAACATGGCTGACTCTCTATAGTTCAGGGGGCTAGACAGAACACAGGGACGGTCAGGAGCAGCAGAGACACCGAAAGGTGGATGAGGAGAGTGGGGGACTAGGAGGCAGATTTAGGTGTTCAGGGCAATAGGATGCAGGGAATGTGGCAGGATGCTGAGGGGAGTGTAGAGGATAGTGATGGTGGATCCACTGGCAGCTCCCCCAGTGGTGGTAGTGGAGGGTAAGTGGAGTGCCCTCTGAGCACAGTGTTGCCAACTCACAAACCGATCATGAGTCACAGGACTTTGGAGCCTGCAGGAGGAGCTGCCATGATGAGGGGCTGCCCTTAAGTTACATAACACACGTTTGAGTGATTTTCAGTTTAACCCTGAAACAAAACATGCAAAATTAAGGACTCACGCAGTCCCTAACGCGTTATGTAATTTATGGATAACCCAGGCGCAAGAAGCTCCCCGCTCCCGCGATTTCCAGGGCTGGGCGTGCAGGCAGAGCTATGTGTAGAGCCTTGGGGCTAAGGACACAGACCTTTAATTTCTATGCAGAGCAGAAAGGATACTGCTGTCATAGAATCATAGAATCTCAGGGTTGGACGGGACCTCAGGAGGTCACCTAGTCCAACCCCCTGCTCACAGCAGGACCCATCCCCCATTTTTTTCCCCCCCGATCCTTAAATGGCCCCCTCAGGGATTGAACTCACAACCCTGGGTTTAGCAGGCCAATGCTCAAACCACTGAGCTCTCCCTCCTTACCCGGAGCCCTGCCTGCATGTATGGTTCTCGAGCAGATTGAAGATCCTAGTGCAGTAGAAGGCAGTGGATGGGGGAGTAGGAAAAAGCTGATACTGGGTCTCCGGCCCCAGACCCAGCAGCAATACTATCCTGCCTCCCGCTGCCTTGGGACTTTCCCCCTACATAGGGAGATGCCACAGGGGGCAATGAGGCAGGGTGTCAGGACAGCAATAGCAAATGTATGGTAGTTCCCCTATCTTAGGGGTGAGGAGAAGGAGGTGGAGACTCCATCTGAGCAGCCTGGAGAAAGCGGGCATTTAAGGTTGACTTTTCAATCTGAAATTATCACACACAAATAGCCGGAAGAGTAGAGGGGAGTTAAAAAGAGGCTTGCCAGTGCTGTGTTTCAAAAATGCAGGACAGACCTCGGATGTCCCCAGTCTTTACTAGAGCCTCTGAGGGCAAGGCCCATCTCCTCTCTCATCTTTCCTAGGGGTCCATTCCCTCTCCAGCTCTGGGCACTGTAGAGGAACCAGGACCTCAGGTGCTAGGCTATGCAGCCACTGCAGCTCCTGTTCCAGTTCCATATGGGTGCCAAGCGCTGAATCGGAGGCTGCAGTTGTTGGTCTCTGCCTACTGCAGTGCAGTGCACTGGATCTGAAAGAAGGGGTATGGACTGGAGAAAGAGCAGTTAAAGGAGGCTTTGCTGCAACCAGCAGGGGTTTCATTTGCAAGGGGCAACATTCAGCTGGGTTCTAGGAATGGAGGGGCATCCGAGCATATTTGAATGGCATTGCAACCACACGCGCTAGGTTGCAACATCACTCAAAATTGGCCCTGATACCCCTCTGTTAGTAATGCCACTCAAGTTTGGCTCAGACAGAGGGGCAGCTGGGCCAAATTTGAGTGATGCTGTGACCCCCTGTGCTAGGTCAAGTTGCCAACCAGTGGCACTTTGCAAAGTGAAGTGCCTGGTTGAAATATCAGATAACAGGCAGCCTGTACTGTTTCTTATTTATATATGGGACATCTCTTATATTATGAGATTCTTGGCAACACTAGTTGAAAAAAAAATCAAGAGAGACTAAAAACATGGTTTGAGAAATGTTTTTAAAATTTCATGCTTCATGGGGCCAGTCGCATGATTTGGGAGATCTAACCCATGATTTTTGATCTCGAGGAACTCCTAATTTTTTCATCTCAAATTTGGCAATAGTGTTTACCATAGATCCCATTTTATGTTACTATGGGTAGGACTTTTGAAATATGGCACTCCAGAATAGAGGCAACCCTGCATATTCTTGCTAACAAAGTGAAATGTGCACTTCTGTTGAATGAGTGAAATATCGCAAAGATAATTTGTTTCCCATGGATACTGCCCCATGGTTGGCAGGTTGTACCAGTCTCTGCCAGACACAAGTGTTCTGTCTCTTATACTTTAACAATACTGACATGCCAAAATATTATTGGAGGCTTCCCAGTCCCATACCAGGCCAACTGCCAGGCCTTTTTTTACTTCCGAGGCTGTAACAGGGTCATGGGTAGCCATGGTAATGAACTAACGGTAAGTGCTGCAACCTTGTCTGGAAATTATCAAATGCCAGCAGTGTATTGGGGTGAGGGATGATGGAAACATTAAGCCATTGGCCAACAGCAAAAATGTTTATTATATTGTCATTTGTTCAATCTCAAAAAGAAAGTGATATTATCTACATGGGTTTGTTCTCAAGTTCTGAGAACTGATACCTTGTCTTATGTAAACCAGGCAAGGCTTGCTATTGCAGCTGTAGCTAAAAAGGACAGCAAAGTTCTCAGAATTGGATTTCTAGGTTGTGGCATTGTTGCCATCACAATTAACTTACAGCATTGCACCTCCATGTTTGACATATGCAGTCTTACAGAAATCCAAGGACAGTTATTTTGCATGTTTACTTAAAACTTGTGAAATAGCTGTTATATCCCCCATCAAACAGTTAATCCCCTATGGGATCTTGTCTCATGTTTTCCTCTTGATCCAGAGCTACAGACGTCTGAACAGCTGATCTGAAATACTAGAGTCATTCCTGATTTAAATCATATTTTCAGTTGAAGTTAATTTCTCGGTCATTGTCGTGATTGGGGCTTGGGCAGTCACAGCAGTGGCAGTCAGAGGCCAAGAACAATGCTAAAGGTCAGAGCTGGAGTCAGGAACCAAACACTGAAACCAGGGGACAAAGCTGGGGTCAGAGTTCAAGTATTGAGACCAGGTATCAGGGTCAGAGTTCAAGGGCAGAAGCCAAGGGTCCAAGCTGGGGTCAGGAGTTCAACAGTGAGCTGAGCGGCAGGTTCATCACTACAATTGGGGTGAAAGTCCACCTTGTTGCATGGACATTTCCTGGAACTCCTGCTGGGCTAAAATAGTGTGCCACTACCAATTAGGGGCCATGAGGGAAAATACCAGTCTGGCCCTTTGAAGTTGTACTTCCTGTCATGTGTTTCTCCACTGGGTCTACGTGATAATGCATATAGCACTATCACAGCTACCGGGTAGTGGCATGGAGGTGTTGGCCATTGCACATCTTGGAAACCTGGGATTCTAGTCCCCACAGAACCTCACTGTCATTGGTTGCACTTTGGGTAAAGCTGAATGGGATAAATACTTACAGGAACATTGATTTGGCATTCTACAGTATATTCAAAGCTTTGCCTATAATCTCCACCCTGTTTTAAGAGTCAGATTAGTTACATAAGAACATAAGAATGGCCATACTGGGTCAGACCAAAAGTCCATCTATTCCAGCATCCTGTCTTCCGACAGTGGCCAATGCCAGGTGCCCAGAGGGAATGAACAGAACAGGTCATCAAGAGATCCATCCCCTGTTGCCCATTCCTATCTTCTGGCAAACAGAGGCTAGGGATACCATCCCTGCCCATCCTGGCTAATAGCCATTGATGGCCCTATCCTCCATGAACTTATCTAGTTCTTTTTTGAACCCTGTTATAGTCTTACAAAACACTACAGGTGTCTGTTTATGTCATCTTCCATGCATCAAGAAAATGAAAATTTGCACAAAATGTCACCTGTTCAAGGAACATGGTAGCACATATTGTTTTGAAAATGTAGCCTTAAGTGGCAACCACATAGGCATAAGAATGCCAAAAGTGAATCACTGAATATAAAAACAGATTGATGCAGGTGCACCAAATGATCTCTTTATGGTGCTGATGTAGCTCTCTAGATTGGCCTAGTGTAGATAATGAGCTAGAACTTCCGGCCTCATCCAGATAATAGACCTCATCTTAAAAACTTAAAGCTCTATCATATATCATATATATCAATTAAACAAATACAGATACTACTTAATGACAGACTAACTGGCAAAAGGACGTTGTCTGCAATAAAGCTCCACCCCTTCCACTAGGTCTCAAAAACCTGTGTTCCTCTCTGACAAGAGTATGTATGAGGCATGACACAGATACTTTGAGGAGACTTCCAAAAGAAGCATATAATCAGCTATTTTGAAACTCATCCAAATCTTCAAAAAATGCAGACATCACCAAGGGTGCCAAATTGGACATCATTTAAATAGACAACTAGGGAGGGGGGAAATCCACTGAAACGTCTTTGATTACCAGAGGTGATAGAATGGGAAAATGAGAGACATTTTTTTGAAACAGGCCTCTGACTTCTAAATAGAAACAGTTTGTCACAGGATTTTCTGGCCTTTTCATCCCTTGATTTTCAGAACTCCAGCAGAACTCGGGGCAACACATCTCATAAAAGTCCCTTTTACATTTTGTAATTGTTTTCCTGACAGGAGTTATGCATGCCATGTGTCTGGACTCTGCCTCCCAGTGGGATAAAGGAGTGGATTACTTTACTTTTAAAGGAGGAGCTGGTTTTCTCTTTCCTTCTTTGAACTT